AATTTCCTAGTTCTGGAAATAATACGTTGTTGATTCTGTTGATTACCAGAGATAACATATTATCCTTAAGGAAATTGTAACAGTTATAGTATAAAGCAAATTTTGGGGAAGCTATGAGAGTAATGTATATTGGATCAGTAGGCTGTGAGTCAAAACCACTTTTATGGAAAAAAGTTTTAGTTTACTAACAGTAAAAGTATTGGTAGCGCTTTTATTTTCTCACATAAGCAGTAAAAGAGAATGTCAAATAAAAGCAAAGAATAGACAGAAATATGAAAATAAGATTAGGATAAGGTTAGGAACATAGAAACTTTAAGAAATTTTCAAGAAAGCCTATCAGGTTCTTTTACTGCCTAATGCTTTACTACAAAGATGAAGCTAATGGAGAAGAAAACCCCTTGTACTATTTTACTTGGCCATTAAACAAATTTGTTAGACTGAGAAGCAGAATGGGGGCAAACAGAATTTTGCTAGATTGAGAGAAACCTATGCTGCTGTTATAAAGTTATGTGAATAATTATTTTTAATCAGTTTGGCCCATAAACCTCTTTCTCAAATATTTGAATTCTTACCGCCACACAGGTGGTTAGGTGCTTCTCATTTCTTAATACTTTCACACTGCCAACCATATTCCTATGGGTTTTTTTGTGGCCCCACTGATTAACATGCGTTTGATAGGGTTTTGAAACAATTGATCTTATTGATAGTAGAGAATTCATAGGAAGCATAAAATATAAATGTAAACCCAGAAAAGGTTTTCTGACAGATTGACTGTTGCCTGTGGAGTGGTATTTTGGCATACAAAGAATTTTTCCCCTTGCCCTCCACTTTGCCTAAATAAGTTACACACTTCTATTTGGGAACTTTTGTCCTCGGTTGATATGTAGCTACAGGAAGGAGGCTTCTGTCAAAATCAGTGGTATTTTATTTCATGACTGAGATTACATTTCTGGGAAGTTCAATTCCTAGTGTTAAGGACCCTGATGTACGTGAGAACTGGTGAATCTGAAGGCTGCATTTAAAGACTGAGGTATGTATTTTCTTTATGTACAAGTGATTCTTCTAACTAACTAATGGTTAACTTTTTTCAGGAGATTTCCTACAGTTTCCTTTATGCTTTTGAGCAACCTGTAAACGTGAAGTCCAATGAGAAATGTAAGCCATAGACTTCGGTGGGGGCAAAATGACCCAGATTTTTCACTTCAAATCACTGAACATATGTACTCCTTAAACCTAAGCTCTAACCTGTGTTTTCAAACCACCTGCCTTTGGATAGTCATTCTGAGAAAAAGCAGGACAGATGTGAGATGTGTGTCTGTGGTTACACAGTAGTTAGTGGCAGAGACTGGAAGCTCTGAGATGAGCTCTACAGAGAAGCGAACTGCTTTTTTAGGTCAGGAGAGAAGGCAAAGCCAAGGTATGTTTACTATGTAGGAATTAGGCCTCTGTGAGGAAAGCATATGCTGAGATTATAGTGGAACTGTTTCTTCATGGTGTAATTTAGCCTTTCCCATTGTGCTTGTGTCCCTGACCAACCCCTGTCAAGAAAACCAGGAGTGATGAGTGTCTAAATGTCTACTTAGAAATGCATCCAAGATCACAAACCTCCTGGGTTCTGGCCCCTTGAAGCTTTTGGCCTTTTACATACCTTGCAGCTTCTGTGGAACAAAAAATAGTGTTTCAGTACTGCACAAGTGATCCAAAAGCTGCTAAAATAGTATGGCTGAAGTCTTTCAAATTGTGCAAATTAGGGTAGTTTTCCAAGTTAGCAGAAGTTTGTGCTGTAGTTTGAAAAGTTCATAGAACTAGGAACAGGATAGTTGAGGTGTGACAAGTTAGAGGTGGAAAGTACTGGTACAATTTTAACTGAGAACAGGGTTTTTTGGACAGCTGTGAGGGAGTACTTCTTGGGAGTGTGATCATGAGGGTCCATGGCAGGACAAGGGAAGAAGTTTATTAGATTGAAAGGGAGAAATAGGGAGCAGGAGTGAGGAACTTGATTTAAAGTTGGATTATGAGCTGATACTGTGAATCAGACATGCTTGAGTGGGCAGAGCTGGAGGAGTTTAATGTGCTGATAAGCTACATGTAGCCCAGATATGCCCTGGGCAATATTTGACTTTGTGGAACCAGATTTTACCTTTTTGAAGGAATAGTCTGATAAATATCTGCTGATAAAATATAAGAATTTTGCTCTAGGTGCCATCAGCACCACAAAATAGCTTTGACAAAACTAAATACTGCTAGACAAAATGTGAATATGTGCATGTGAGTATACAGTATTTCTAGGAAACTGCTTAAAGGAGAAACTTTTATGCAAAGTACTTTTTATCTTGTCCATCAAAATATCTTGATCCAAAAGAAAAGTTAGCTGAGAAGCAATAGGAAAAAGTTATGAAGACTCTGTTGACACTGAAGTTCAATGCTTTGTTTTCTGTTTCTTTCTTACAGTTCAGCCATAATGTAATGGGACAAATACAAAATGTTCTTGCAAAATTTCAGTCTAAATGCACTCTCCTGTATAGCTGATGTCTTCATCTGTAATAGCTGTGTACTAATTCATGACACTCGTGGAAGTCCGAAACTGATGTCCACATATAGCAAATTTCAGAGGTTTCCTTGCAGTTCTTAATTTGTTTTGATGTACTTCTGGGTTCTCTCTTGTAGTTGTTACTAATCACTTGCTCAGCAGTAGGTCTTCTGCTAAAAATATTGATCTTGATTCTGTATTTCTTTTATGGGAAAATGTAATTCATGACTTTGTATTGAATGCAATGCAAACTTGAATTCTGCTGCCTTGTGGTATTTCACTTGTGAGCTTTCATTCTCCCAGCTCCACTGTTCTAGCACCTGTTACTGGCACCTACTTCATTTTAAGTCTCTAAATAACTGCCAGGGACTCTCTCTTCCCCCTTCTCCAGGACAAATAGGAGCATACCTCAGAGTGGTAAATGTTGTTGAGTGGCTGCAGAGTGGCTCCTCTGAAGCCTCTTTCCAGTGCTGCTATTGCCCTTTCACTGAAAATAGGTGGCATACAATATTTTGAAAAGAGCAATTAAGATGTATTTTTTGTGATTTAAGTGACCCCAGATAATGATGCACCTGAAGAGCTTAAACTGCTTGTTTCTTCTTGCTTAGTCATTATATCAGAGCACCTACTGTTGTTCAGACTTTTTTATTGGAGATGCATATAAACATTTTGACATAACTTAAAATCTGAGTCATCTCTCTTTACTGTCCCCATGCTGGAGCTGGTGATGGTCAAAATTACCCTCAGGAAAGCTTAAGACAGTTTCAGGTTTCAGAGGAGTCACTTGACAGACAAATCAAATTTACCCCCTTTCCCTATTCCTGACAACAGTTATAAGCAGGCAGCAATCTTGTGGTGTTTTTTGTAGAAAGCTGAAAGGGAAGGGAGATAAACAGAAGGGCGACTTACCATCTCCCAGAACATATGTACCGATCTTCTGGAAAAAGAAGGGTAGAAGAACCATCATAGGATACAGGCATAGAGTGCATACTTAAGTTAAAAAGTAGTTTGGGAGTTATGAGTCAGAGCTGACATGTATGGGAATTGTTCGCATTTGGACTAAGGTAGACACTGGCAGCTTAGTGTAAGAATTTTTCATGTAAAGTCAGTGGTGTTAAAGTAAAGATATTAGGTCATCTGTGTCTGTCTTTGGCAATCAGCCATTTCTCCTAAGCAGATCAGAAGGAGGCATAAATGTTGGGTCTATAACTAGGTCTTCTGAAAAGACTTAGCAGGAGACATTTAAGGGTTTTTTAAGGCAGTTGAATATTCAAGTACAAAATTGTTTGTGTTCAGATATGATGATTTTTCATTTTGAAGATGTCGAAGTACTCTAGAACTGCACTAGACTTTTACGAACATGGGAATTTGAACAGCAGCATGACAGACTCGTGAGGTGTTTGAGATAGCAGTTTTCTCAAAGCTTTTGACTGAAGCAAGAGAAATACAGAACCCAGCTAGCAAGCTGAGGTGGCTTAAAAACAGTCCAATTTTAAAAGAAAACTGAAATAGAGCTTTTTCCCCATGAGGAGAATTTCAGTGTGCTTTTTAAGTGCTATTGCTTGAACTGACACTGTTTGAAATAGTTTCCTGGAAAAGTAGTTCATAAGATGCTATATTGAATTAGTTAATGATCAGTAGTAATTTTGGACAATTCCATTGAATCAATCTTTCCCATTGGTGATCAAAAATGTGTTGCTAAACCTTTGGACAAGGAATTCATGAAACTACTATGAGCAGTAGAACAAGGTTGTTCGTTATTCCTGTTTCCCAGCTGCAGCTCTGCCCCCTTCCTTTCTATGGGATATCTCTAGGAGTTGTCACTAGGTGGCTGAGGATGCAGTGCTTTAGTGTCCTGGACCTCATTTCTTTTCCTGCTTCTCTTCATCCCTGACCTTACTACCCATCTTCGTGTTCCAGCCTGACTATCTCTTTTTCTCTTTGTCCTCCTAGGAACCACAATGTTTTTTTTAACTGAGCCCTCACCCCCACTGCTCCAGCAGTTTGCTGCTGAGAATGAGTAGTGCTGCTGGCTGGGAGGAGAAGGGGAAGGGCAGTATGCTCCCCCACCAACCAAAATAGCAAGAAGATGGAATTAAATGGTCCCAGCAGAGCTGAGATAGGTTATGTTGGACAGGACATAAGGTAGCTCTTGTGGGTATTTCAGTATTGTGATAGTTCTGATGCCTAGTAACTCTGGTAATGTTGGATAGTGTATAGATTTAAAATAGTGGCACTAGGGTAGAATTATAGTGGCCCATTACTGAGTCACTGTAAATTTCAGTCTGGAATGGTAGTGTATCTATAAATGTGTTAGATGCTAGCCTCAACTAGAAAATGTTTCAACACCTGTTCTCAACTTTTCTTTGTAGCAGTATCTTGTAACCAGCCTTTTCAGGTGTTGATTAGATCATGTCTTTTTATATTTCATGCTGAGTCATCCTGACTTGTTTGTTTTCAGGTGTTGACTATGAAGGTATCAATACAGGCTGTGGCAGTGTGGGGAAAAAGAGCTCCCTCTCATAGCATCACTGCCATTATGATTACAGATGACCAGCAGACAATTGTTACAGGAAGTCAAGAAGGACAAATATGTCTCTGGGATCTTTCATCAGAATTAAAGGTTTGTGCCCACTATACTAGCCTGCCAAGTAGGCAGATGGGAGTTTCATCTTTTATTATTAACAATAGGATTGTCTATTGTTGCACTTGTATGAAATATTACAGATACTATGTGGGATTTTTGTTACAGGAAACTCATGAAGTAAAATGATAAAAGTTAAAATGATGAGCATATATAAGCAACTAGTTATCTATGGACTTCAGAAAATGTTTCATATACAGTCATTGAACTGTGGATTATAATTTGAGTGTAGTGTGAGTGATGGCAGCAACGGTGATGATACACAGTTATCACGGTTCCTATCCTGAAAGCCATGTCTTTTTTTAAAAACGGGAGCTAAGCATGGCCTGTCATTTCAGAACAAATACCCATTTGGCAAACCAGAGCTCCCTACCAGTTTAACGATGGGAATGTTTATAGAAAGATGGAAGAAGTGGGATGAAATAGTGAAAAACAAATTGTTAGTGTAATTAATCTGTGTCTTCTGGCATATCACTGGTATTGCTTTGACTCCATTTCATTTTGGTTTTCCTAAAATTGGAACCAGAGTCAAAGCAATTTGAACTTTCTATTTTGTGTTTTTAGAGCGTTGATTCTGTTCTTGGATATGTCTGCCATTTGCACCTCAGTATAGCTTGGAACTTCATCTTGCACCTTTATTGGTCTATGTTTTCCCATAAAGATGCACTTTATATGCAGCTCGTAAGAATCAAAGGGATCACTTAAACACAGCATTAAACACATGCTTAAGAGCTTTGCACTCTGTCACTTTTGTTGTACACAGTAGGTGAGGGAGAAAGATATTCTGCACATTGTCCGTTTTATAACATTTGATGCCCCATATGTCCTTCAGAAGGAGCAGTGTCAAGACTACACTGGTTACAGAGACTGCACTTTTTTGCTGCCAGTGTGCAAACTGCATAATCCCTGTAGGCACATCTAGTACATTCCAGAAGTATGGCTGAGGACCATAAGAATATAAAGCAGACTGATTACTCATAATCATATCTACAAGTAGTATCCTTAGGTTTTAGATCTCAATAACTGATGCAGCAAATGCTATTTCTAAGTTGAGCAATTTTATTGTTCTCCTAGATTTCATCTAAGGAAATTCTGTTTGGCCATACTGCTTCTGTAACTTGTTTGGCAAAGGCAAGAGACTTTGAGAAACAGCCATATGTAGTAAGTGCTGCTGAAAATGGGTAGGTAACCTGAGTATTCAATTATTCATTTCTTGAATCACGAAATATATGGCAAGCATAGGTCAGATTCTACATTTGGCAGCAGGTTTTTAATCCACTTCCTCCAAGATGTGGAAAGGATGGCAGTTACTTAGGAAAATGTCTGTATTGCTTATATACAATAAGCTAACCCAGAGTTCATCTCTTGGACCACGGAAGGGTTTGGCAGATTCAAATATCCATGTAGTTGTTGTCAGAGAATGAATTGTTCGGAGGGTCAGTTAGGCCCCATTCAAACGGAGGTGCGTTCAGACAGGTTATAGGAGGGAATTAGCAGGTTTAGAAGCATTTTTATCATGCTTTTTTTTCGTTCCTGAACTCAATCTGGAGAACTGAATCAGTAAAGGAGGCTAACAAATCCTGATCCGGGTTATGCTTGCTCAGTGATCAGGTCTGGAAGCAGAGATGAGACTGTTTTTAAATAGCAGGTGCACATGTTGCCTGTTTTTATTTATATCTGACTTGTCATTTTGGAGTATGTCCTTCTGGGAGCTCCCAATCTTGCAGCCTTTCTCTGATACGTTTGTTGTGACTTGGCCCATTGGTTGAGTCAAACTCATTTTGCGGTTGTGGTAGGCTTGCCCTCGAGAACTTTTCTCTGAATATTTGATAATCCTTTTGGCTGTGGTCTGAAGCCTGTCTATTCAGGATTTCAACCATTGAAAGCAGTTAGGGCTAGCTTCTTAGTTCCTTGGAGCTTTTCCTAAACACCTTTTGTTTGTTTCTTGATGGTATTTCCCTCTCACTCATCTTGTGTTCATCTTTCCCAATTAACAGGCAGCTCTGTTAAAGCCTGTTACCATGAAGAAGTGCTGTCAATTGCCCTTCTTCAAGCTACACCTTCCAGCCCCTTAAGGCTTCTACTTTCTCACTGAGAAGCTTGTTTATCCTCCTTTCCAACCAGTCCCAGCTGCTAGGATCTGTCTCATTTGCTCTCTGTCATGAGGATACAAGAAGGGGATAACTGAACAAACTGGTTCAGGCCTCTTAATCTTCAGAGGTTAGGCTGCCCCACTGAACAGTTTATAGGAGGTAACAGTAAACAGTTTTGATATGTGTAGAAAGGAAGGTGAGCAGCCAATGGAATTAGTTTTTGAATTGACTTCTTACAGTTAGAATAAAAGATGAAACTATTTTTTCATCTTAATTCTGAAGTTCTGTTAGTGCTATACAGTTTCCACATCATATGGGGAGAAATGGTACCATATTTTCAAAATACTAGGACAAAAAGCATTAAGAATGAGGTTTTTGCTGTAAGTATACTATACAGAGATGTTCACGTTCTGAAGGTTCTACCACTGAACGGACTGCTAGGTTTAGGATGCATATAGGTAGGAATGCAGTCTTCTGGCCCCTTTAAATGTTCACTTTTACCCAATAGCTGATGACTTTTCAGTATTACACGAGGGCAAAGGATCCATCACTGATCAATGGAAGGTTGCAACATGAAGCTGAGGTAATAACAAACAGGATGCCTCATCTTCAGGAAATGCAGGATTTGTTGAGCTATGTTTTCTGGCCTGTGTATCGTTTACTTCTCTGCCACTTTCAGGCTTCCATCTCCTTGCACTGGGGGTTGGGGAAATTGTGTGGAAGAAGGTACTTCTCCCCCATCCTTCTCCAGAATCTTGAGTCTTTGTGTAACTGATTTATCCCAGAAGGATGAATATTTGACAGCATTCTTGTACTTTTTTATATGGAAATTTTGAAATTATTCCATAATGATTAAAGAGTTTCCACTGATGTGTCCCGTGCATTTATATAGCATGTGTTGTAGGACAGGTTTAGCAACATGCAACATTCATATTGTTCCACTTTCTCCTTGTTGGTACCAGAGTGAATGCAATAATTCCAGTGCAGCATGCAGAAAGTGTTTATATTCTTGTCTCATTTGTGTATTACAAATGTAGCTGAAGCAGTAGGGTTGATTGTAATATACTCTGATATAAACAAAAAGAAATTCAATACCTTTAAACAAACAGCACAAAAGTCTACTTAGACTTTTGGTCTACAAACATAACTGTACGCTGCAGATGTGTAGATTTTATTGCTTCTGCTCACCTGAAAAATACAAAGTAGTCTTTTTAGATTATAATAAAATATGAAAGTGAGTATATAGATTAAAATGTAAATCATTAAATAGCATTTCTGACATATTAAAACATTTTTTCTCCAGTGTTTAAGTTCTCTTCCAGAAATGCCTCTGAGAAATCATAAAATGATCTCTGTGAAAGTAGTTGCTGTTTAAACTTTGTTTTTAGATTTTAACATTTAATTACTGAGCTATGACAACATACCTCATGCAACTTAATTTTACAGTTAACGTGATTGTTTCTACTAAACTCTGGTTCCATAGGATGTTGAATATTTAAATGAGGAAGACTGGCTAATGAGTTTTTCTCAGGTGTTAACTTTAAAGGCAGGAAAGTGCAGCTAAAATGTTATATAAACTTATATGTTGTAGACAAGTGCTGTATCAGTAACAGCCTTCAGAAACAGCCTCATGGTGGCACTGTTTCTACTTAACAGAAGGTGATAGTTTGTGTCGAGAACTAGTTTGATGCAGCAAAAGATGCATTGTGTCTTTCAAAATGTGTGGTTTAAGTTCAGTGAAATGAATCACTTTCGGGAGGATGTAGTTCCAACGAATGGTAGTTATAGTGACACATTGACAAGCCGTGATGGCAGTATACCTACAATTTGTTGTAGACCAGAGTTGGCCTTAAACTCAGGTTTGCTGTAAGGCAGCAGGGTGTAATTACCAAAACAAAAAGAAACAGATACTCTGTGTCATTCCCTGCTAATGACCACAACATTTTCTTACCCAGTAATCTGTAACACAAAGCCGCATAAACGATCAGACTGCACTTAAGTACAGCACTAAAGAAAAACTTAGTGGCACAAAATTATTCCAGCCAATTGAGTGAAAATGACAGAGAATAATATGAAGTTATCTTTGGCAGGGAGATGTGCGTTTGGAATGTTGCTAGTGGACAGTCTATTGAGAACGCAAAGCTTCCTTATAGGCACACAGCAATCTGCGTAAGTATAGCAACTTTTCATGAAATATCTCAGTGCATTGCAAGGAGGGTTTTGCTTTATTACCATGATGTTTTCCAGAAACGTATGATTTTAAATGTATAGCTCAAACATACTTCATAGGAGGAAAAATACTTGTTGCAGTAAAGTAGTTTTATATCTGTTTTTCCTTTTTCACTTCCAAGAAATGAACTAAAACTTCTGTATTCTTCTGTACTCCTTAATCAAGTCAAACCAATCCTTTTTAAGCCAAAAATGTCTGGGACGTAGTACCGTTTCATTTGCATCAGGTAGTAGTAGAACTTGAACCTGTTTTGTAATCCTCATTGTTGTCTTATGTTAAATTTACACTGAAATTCTCAAGTTTAAAGTTGTCTTTTTAATGATGTACACACAACCTATCCAGACAAACATTTTGTAAGGCAATTTAATAAATATCTTATTTTTAAACATATTTGAAAGATTTTGATTGCCTAACTGCTGCTACCTTCCAGAAGACTGCTCTGTCCCCTTTTCAAAAATACATTCATTCATTGCAGAACTCTGGCAGGTCACTTATTTTCAGAGCCCCAAATTGCTTTAAATCCTTTTTCAAGTAATTTCAAGTGTCTGCTTTGAACTGTATTCAGATATACTCTAAGTACATTTTAGTATGAGTATGTATCTGAAATGTGTTTGTATATGATTTAGGAGCTCAGCCTGTGTGGATATGATTCAGGGACATGGATAATTTCTGAATGTTTGTAAAAGAGCAGCTCTGGGCTCCTAGGTTAATTAAAATGCTGTTTTTCTTGGGTGAGGAAGTCTAGATGGCGTTAAGCCTCCAAGTGATGGCCATTCGAAACCACTTTGAACTCTCTTGTGACTTTTAAACTAGACAAATTCAGTATTCAAATATTTCAAAGCTTCCAGAAATAATATGGTTTTTATGACACTGTTTTAGTTGACATGTTTAACTCAAACATGGTTGTTAATGATAGGGAGAGGGAAAAATTTAAGTTACCAAATGAAAATTAAAGAGGAATTACTTCTTAACAATACATGTTAATATACATATCTGTTTTTAATAATGTAACAGAGACCCAGTATGAGCTGCTCTGTGTTGCTTGCTTAGATTTTTATGGTAAATAATGAAGTTCTACGGACAAATAGAAACGGATCTGGCCTGGGTGATTGTCTGATAATCTTTGTGCTTTCTTGTGGGCATTAAGGTGGAATCTTAATTCTTTAACTGTTCAATTAGGAGAAGCAAATACTTATTTTTTAGGAAAGGATGTTACCTGTTTCTTCATTGGGAGTTGAAGTAGGCTAAGTCTAGTTTTGGATGGATAATGGTTCTTAATCTATAACTTTGACAAGATGGCTAAAGGAAGATATAAACATCTAACAGTAAAACTTAGGAAAGCAAACAGATGCAGCTAGGACAAGAAAATATTCTTAAAATACAACCTTCAGATTTTTATAATAGTGTTTTTTTATTTTGTTTTTTGGGTCAAGGAGGACTTACTGCTTGTAGCATAATAATATCTGAGAGTATCATTTTCTACAGAAGGTTATTGTCTGGGAGGTTTAGTGCACACTGATTTTGATAGTATAACTATTTTTAAAATGTTGCTTAACATTTCACAAATCTGGTTTGGTAGGCTCCTTCTGTTTAGCCTCTAGGATTCAGCTATAAATGGCAGATGTCCGGCAGTGCAAATTGAATGCTTGCCATTTGAAATGAAGTTTAACACCAGGATCAAAAGACCTCTTAATCTTTTGTGGTTTAGCAAATGTGGCATCTCCTCTTAGAGGACTGATTGACTGTCCAAATCTTGCAGTTCAAGTTTAAGATGAACAGTAACTACAAATAATTCCTGTGTCCAAGCACTACTGTTCCTGATGATTCACAATATTTGTGGACATGCATTTTTTTTCCCAGATCAGTTTCTTATGCATCTTCTCTTTTTCAGGCAGACTAAAGATAGACTGTGATAGACCGGGAACAATATCTAACTAAAACTAAGAGAATTTACAGTAATTGAGGCATAATTTTGTAGGGCTAGCTGATATTTTCCTTTGACTACATGATCCTTCTATTAAAGGATGCTGTTTATTTGTAAATTCTACTTGAAGCAGCTGATTGTGTATTTAAAGCAGTTACTTGTACAATTACAGACAGTTATTACACAAAATTCAAATATTCTTGCATGTGCAAATCAGAACACTTACCAAAAAAAAAAAACTTCTTTCACTCCACACCTAGTAATCATCTCTAAGTACTTTGCTGTGTCTGGCTTTCCTTTTTTATGTGGTTGTTGAGAAAGAATGAATCTTCTAAATACTAGGACTTTTGATTTCATATTAAGAACTTAGCTCATGGAGTAAAATCCCTCCTGGAAAATAACTCATTATGGATCCTCTTCATTTTTACCTTAAGTTCCCCCCCCATATTTACATACCTCTTCAGAACTGTGGTGGTATCAAGTGCTTGGAAAGAGAAGAGGTCTTTCAGAGAAACAAGTCCCAGATTGTTTAGCAATTTAAAAGGAAAGCTAACCCCTTGATTACTTCTGAAAAGGCTAATAGCCAGAGCAGATGATGCTTTTGGAATGAAGCCTCTCTAAGCTATATGCCTGTGTTAAATTGTTATAAATGTATGTAGAACATGTGTTAATAGCAAAATTATGTACAAGTATTCTCACATGTGCAATTTCATGTGGGTTTTAGTGATGTTGCTCATGTTAATTACAGTTCAAGTGCAATATGCTGTAAGGTGAAAAAAAATGCATGCACATTTTTTTAGTTCTGTATGCTGACTGTTTTCTCTCCACTTGTACAGTATTACCATTGCTCATTCCGAATGACAGGTGAAGGCTGGCTTCTTTGCTGTGGAGAATATCAAGATGTTCTTATTATTGATGCTAAGACTTTGGATGTTCTTCACACTTTAACATCTCAGTCTTCCGATTGGATCAATTGTTTGTGTATTGTTCACTCTACAAGAATTCAAGGTATAAATTGTGCATGTATTTATGTAGGCCAATCAGTTAAGACATGTAGTAAAATATTTCCATATAGGTAGTGCAGTCCTACTGGACATAGAAATAGTCATGACTTAGAGTTGTTAAATACGGGATGTAAATATTTCAGTGTCAGTGCTTGAGGATGTGTATATAATATCCTTAATGTTAGTCAGGTTTCATGTTAATAAAAACACAAGTAGCTCCTACGTTGATTGTAAGCAGTTCAGTGCTTGGATATAAGTACAGATTAATCTTGTTTGTAATGTCAAGGAAATTTTTTTTAATAGTACTTTATTCAAATATAGACCACTGGATGAAATACAGCTATTCAGAATTTGCTGACATATTTTATATTCCTATATACAAATTAGTTCTGTGTAAACTTAATGTTTCATCTGAAGAGTGCTCTGCGGAATCCATCAATTTTAGTGCTGCACAGAACAGTGTCTATGCAAAGATTCTGTTTTGGCTTTAGGCATGATGTCTCAACTTGATTTCAAATTTGTCTCGCTGTTACCTTTTCACAGAAGACTCATTGGTTGTAGTGTCTGTAGCTGGAGAACTTAAAGTATGGGACCTATCTTCATCCTTGAATAGCATACAGGTCAGTTTGCATGAAGTGTGAAACAGTAGTTAGAACAATGATGTGAAGTATAGTACCTAGTGATATTCTCAAGTAAGATACGCTGAAGGAGAATGTGAATGGTTGAGAATCTTCTGAATATGTGTTAGATGAACTTGATTAATTTGGTGTATGTCTCTGCTGAAGAAGCTAGAGTCCTTGCTAACTTTCCACAAAATTCTCAAAATACACCCTGATAGCACCCTACTGAAAATTAATTGGGCCATTGCACAGCTCTTGCCTTGATACCTGCAGTGTCCTTCATCCAGATTTCATACCTCCCATATTCCATGATACTAAAGCTATAATGGTTCCTTATGACCCTGACCATGTCACTCAGTTCTTTGAACCCCTTCACTTCCTTTAAAGCTCCTTAAAAGTCAGCCTTTGTGCTCCCTCTTGATCCTTGCTTCTGTCTTCAAAATGGTCCTTTAGACTTTGTCTCCCTCTGTCTGCCTTTTAAAATGCTGTCTTCATTCAGAAAAGGCTCTTCCTCTGTGAAGTATGCTATTTCTCCATCTTCAAACCCACTTATTCCACGTAACTTTTCTGTGTTAATATTCTCAGCGGCCATCTCTAGACGTACAAGTGCTAGAATTGGAATACAATGTTTTGTGCTTGAATTAGACTTTAAGAGCTGAATTTAAAAAGGGACTTGAGTTAAGCACTAGAATTGTCATCAGAAATGGCAAAATGTCAGCAATGTTCTTCTCTGGAACATCCATGATACATTACTGCCTTACTGGACAAACTGCAGAGTGTCACAGCAGAACTTGTTAATTGATAGGATCAGGCCCCTCAGGAGATGCTGTTAGATTTGATGCTGTACCAGAGTTCACCTGTATTTTTGGTTGATTTGCCATGTTTTGGGGACTCTCAGCATTCCTAGGAGGGAAAAAATGAAAGTACTACTATACTATTGATTCTCTGGGGACTGTAGGAACTGATTACAAACAAATGGCAGAAGCATGTATAAGTATTGTGCTATCCCTTTGCTTTATTGCCTGGGACATTCTTTCCTGAGGGGAGGACTGCACAGTTGGTAATAATCCAATTGCTTCCTATGGTTAGGGACTAGTATCTTAATTTTCTTGGATTTAATTGGAATTTAATTGAAGTTACAAGGTGGAGTGAGAGGATGGTGTGGAATTTCTGCTTGTGCTTTAACCTAACTAGGATTCTGTGACCAAGGTAGCCATTCTTTGAGAGATTTTGATACTGATGGTATCTTTCAAAACAGAAATTGTCAGCTATCAGTGGTGTAATCAATAATAAAAATAATTGCAGCATAATTTTGAGCAGGATAGCCTTGATGATACATCTTTGATATTCACACAAAAGGGAAAATATATCTATATATGTAACCATCCATACATGCAGAAATGAAAGGTTAAGTCAATGGAGTTATTTCCCACTACTTAGAGATACTACTTTTAGAACGAGATCATATGACACAGCATACATCTCAGACAGTGTCCTAGTTGCTATGAGGATAAGGAGTGGCCAAGCAGAATGTTCATTAGCCATTTTGAATCTGATACTGTCAGCTTAGACTGTTGTAGCTATTTTTTGTTTAGACTGAAGAATATTTAGTGACCTGCCTTTAGTTCTTCTCCACGTTCATTATTGCTTCAAGTGAGATCAAGAACCAGAGGCATGCTGGATATCTTCTGTCCATAGAATACTTGTGGACCTGACTGTTTTCCTATCTCACTTTTGGTAAAATACATATTGCTTTACATTTAAAAAAAAATTATGCTAACCAAATGATTTTCAATGGTGTTTCTCTCCTAAAATTAAAAGCTCATATCACATGTTTCTTTTCTGTGCTGTAAAGGAGAGGCAGTGTGTGTGTGAGAGGGAATCCAAATCTCTGGACTGTATAAACTGCCAAGCAATACGGTTTTGCACTTACACAGAAAGACTTCTTCTAGTTGTGTCCTCCACGTGCTGGCAGGTATCTCACTGAACATTGCAAATCCTGTTTAATTTTGTTAATAATTTGGTAACACTTGAAAAAGCTGGTATGATTCTTATATGTAAATACCTATTTTCCTTCTTGAGTTAAAAGAAACAGCACTCTCTAATTATTAGTGATAACAGTGCTCTGTGTGTCTTCACTGGTTACCTTAATTGCCTGACTGAGTACTTTATTTTTTTTCTTAATGTATTTCAACTTCAAAAGAATTTGTCATGAAGTCTGTTGTAAAGGGAAATAGTTTAAATATTATTCAGTTTTAGAGTACCAACGGGCATATACCCCTCTCTGAATTGCATTGCAAAAAGAGACAAGCCTGCACAAAAAACTGTCAAAATATGGCAGAGGTAATTGCAGCCAGGGAGCCCTCTGTGATGAGGGGCCTTTCTTCCATCGAGGCCAAAAGCCTGGGTTCTGCTAATAGAAGCCAGCAAAGCCAAGGAGTCCAGATGTTATCACTTTTTCTCACAGCTGTAAGAAAGGAAATGCATCATATAATTGCTGAAACTGTTATTAGTTGTAAAGAGGTTGCAGGAGAAGGGATTTTTTGTTTTTAATTCTTAAGCTGAATGTAGTTGTAATAATTCTGTATTTCTTTTTCCCAATGCTATGCCATTCTACTAAGATAATCCTGAGTTATTAGTGCAACATATAGACCTGGTCCAAAGGCCACTGCTGTTGAAGGAAATACTTGAATAGGTTGAAGTCAACTTTGAATAATGCCTTTTGGAGGGTATCCTTGAAACTCCTATTGCACTAAAAAAATCTGTATGGAAGCATTTATAAAGAAAATCCATGTACAGAATGAATGTATTTTTCACAGGAAAGCTGTGTAACATGTTTTCTTTTAATTTCTGTAATGTTTTCAACAAGAGATACCCGTTTCTTGTAGTGTTCCACTATGCCTTTGAGCAATTATATTTTACTGGTCAAAGTAGTGGCATAGATATCCTGAATTAGAAGGATATGTGCAATGTATCACGGGGGAGAGATTCAAGTATATTTAGAGTAGTAGATACTTAACCCACTACTGTATTGAAAATATAGAGCAAATTCTATGTTCTATATGAAAAGTCTATAGGAATTCTTTCTGAAACCTATTTCCTCATGTTTCCTATTGGAATAAATTATATGGTGTGGCTATGAATTCTCTCTCCATGAGGCCACTAGGAGTATGGATATGCAGACCATATATTCTAGGCTGTCCTAGTCATATCCCATTTTAGTTTAAAAAGATGTCACATGAAACAAAAAATTCAAATGATTTTTTTACAGGCTTTAGAAATCGAAGAGCTGGAAACATTATTGCAAGCAAATGGGGTTATGTATTCTTGTGCTTGCTTTTAATTCATTTAATTTATGAAGACGAGAAATATCTTCTGCCCCCTCCCCAGGACAGAAGAGAAAAAGTTGCTTTGCTAAGAGATATATGCTGTGATTATGCCAGTAGTTATCTGTTCAAAGAGCACTTTGAGTGGAAGCATTTAAAACTGCTCTCGAGAATCTTCAGTGTCATATTTGTGCTAAATTCATTGCTGAACTCCACACAAGAAATGAATTTTGTCCGGTAGACGACAGGGAACGCAAAGCAAACAAAGTAAATCCTTTATCTCATTGAAAATCCCCTAATATAGCATAAGCCTTTAATGGTACTTTTTTAGTTGGCAGTTTCTTTATCATAGAAGTATATGGTTTGATTTTGAGTTTGTAGTAGTTTGGTGGTACAAAAACTTTTTACTTTCTAAAAAGAGGTTGTCAAACTACCAAGAGTGAAGCAAATGTGCTGTTTATTGATCCTTTGCCCCTAAAACCATTTGAATTAAAATGAATGTGTCAATACTGTTTTTTACTGTTTTTCTCTGAGCTTAGGTCTATGATTATTGTGACTTTTCTTTGCTATGTACTGAATTCTGCAAAAGCGGTGAGTGCTTTGCTGGTGGAGAAGTACTAGCAGCTTACAGACTTATCATCTGGACAGAAGATGGTCACAGTTACATTTACCAGCTGCTGAACAGGTGGGCTCAGATGGGAAATTAACATGAAAAGTTCAGGTACAAGATGAATTTTAGGAGGTTATTATGGAAAATCTTTGCAAATGATCAAAAACCAGAACAAAAACACTTTGGCACTCAAAGATTTACCCTGAGTTTGACACCCCTCAGCCTTTGTTTGACACAGCAGGGGACACAAGAATAAGATTAGCCATGTAGAACTTGGGCAGCTGGTGCTGTGATTTCAAAAAGTCACTTTTAATTACTTAGAAACTTTTAACTGAACTTGTGAATCTTGGATGTTACTGTTCTGCTTTTTAAAAAAAAATGAATTTCTAAAGCTTTTTTTAATTATGCAGCGGGCTTTCTAAAAGCATATATCCTGGTGATGGAAGAGTGCTGAAAGAAACTGTTTATCCTCATTTACTCTGCTCTACTGGTGTGAGAGAAAATAAGGTAACATTGGAAAAGTTTAAAGTGAGCTTCAAAAACTACTTCATGTTTTGTTTGTGACTTACCAAAATGATTCATAGGAAACTATTTAAAACAGATTTAATTGTTAATATGATGAATAAGGCTTATTCCTTCATTTTAAAATTATTACTTGGAGATGTTCCTAGGGTATTTTGCCTTAAATTCTGGCATTACTTAAATTTTCTATCAGGAAAAGAAACATTTTCAGCTGTGGATTATTGCAGTGTTCTTTTGGTGTTTTTCTGGTCTTGGAAAAAAAACTTATTTTAAGTTGAAGGTGGTCTAGTATACTTATACTTTCAAATCTGTAAAAAGACAATTTACTGAAGCTACTTAGTTTTTGTTCTATTGCAAAATGTATGCCTGTTTCATCAGACCTGTGTGAATAGACTGAGTTGCCCATGTGCATAAATGTTTGAACCTGAAAGATCTGTTACTTGTAAAATGCATCAGTCCTAATTGTGGGCTTTAATCTGTGATGTTTTATCCAGAATACTGCTATTGTGAGCCTTCAGAGGCATTATCACATGCCTAACTTTCTCACATTTAGAGCAGGCTGGCAGTGTTCACAGTGCATAAAACTATGAGAGCTATTGCGTGTGCCTTGAAAGAGCTTCTATTTTTAAGAAAAAAAGGAAGCTGGAAAAGTAGATAAAATACGTAGTACTTCTGATTGAGAATTCATGTTTAGCATGACATGTCACACTAATTTCAAATTTAGTTACTGACTAGACAAAAAAAGTGGGTCAAGTGGAGTCATCTCTGGAAAGCCTGCATCTGAATGACTTTTTAATCTTGAGAATCATCTGTGGCTGGGGTTCTTTGGTAAAAATCCATCTGCAACAAATTTAGGTGTAACTGAGATTTAATCACTGTGTAGCATCGCAACTAGAACCAAGGCTGAGTCTTCATACTGATACTGTTTTTATGAAATAGTAATTGTTGGAAGACATGGAGTTCAATCCTACCTATAACTAAATTAGTTTGATTTAATGTATATTACATGAGAGCTCAAGCTATTAAACCGTTTCTGAAGATAAGCAAGGGGGCCATATTTTTGTTTCTGTTTGACCAGAAACAGTCAGACGTGTGGACTTCTCATGTTTTCATTGCTTTTTTTGTTGGCAAGGGTAGGCTTTTAGAAAGCATTTTTGTTGCATGCTCTTCCTAAGCCTGACAGATTTTAATTTTCAGTTGATGGGTGATAGAACAAGCCATTCAGTTTTTCCCCCTAAACATATTAGGTCTAAAATCAGATAGGATAACTGCTGAGGAGACCAAAGGTCAGATGTCGTGAAGGAAAAGTTGCCAGAATGTGTGGCGTAGCAAATAACTGCACTACAGTGGTGGTAGGAACCTCATAGATAATTTTGTCCCTAAAATGTATGCGCTTTTTAGTAATATCTCCTGCCACTCTTACAATTTAAATACAATTTAAATATTAATCTTCCTGCCTGATTAATTTGATAACAGATTTTAGTGCGACACAACAAAACTGCCTGTGTGACAGTCTATTTCGATTTCAATTCTTAAATTATTACTGAAACAACATTACAGTACAGTTGCTTATTGTTCACTCCCAAATTTCAATGTTGTAAATAAATTATATCCAACAGGTATGTTATTAAAATGCCTTAAAGGTACAAATAGACTCAAGCTATGTCTTGAGTCTATTTATCAAGTAATAAAGTTCTGTAGAGCAGATCAGTTTGTGCTGATGACCTTTCATCCACTCTATCTATGCCAGAGGGTAGTAGGATTTTTGTTGTGTTTTTTCTTCAGGCTAGTTTTCTGGCCCTTGGACTGTATGCCCATCTGTGCCTGGAATGCAGTAGGTGTGTTAAATTTTCCAATTTAGTTTCATCCAAAGGATTCCTGATTTTTATGCTTTAAAACAGTTCAACAATGCAAACCAAAGCATTCACTTCCAAAGTACGCTCCTATCTGAACTAAAATATGCTAATGTACACCTACCTGGATGGTTGTAATTTTCCTGACTTTTCAAGAGTTGGGTATTCCTCTAGTTTCAAGCCACTAAAAGTTTCCAGTTAGGCACCTTACTGTTCTCAGCAGTTTAGTATTTGGGAATGAAGCTTATGTAACCACCAAACAGAATGTTCTTGGCAAGTCATCTGTTAATTATCATACGGAGTTTGGGTGCTACTGGTATTTGATACAGAATTACCTGTGTTATACCTACAGGCAAAGAAAAACTCCAGGTTTCTAGTCCTCATGGGAGAATGCAAATACAGCTTTTGTATCGGAGATAAGTATACTGCCATAAGTTTTAGCATTGACTGAAACTAGGTAGATGTCAGTAATAATTCTATTTATCAATGATACACCTCTGCAGTCTAATTTTTTGGCAGATAAGTGAATGGTCACAATATAGGCTGTTTTTACACAGATGGGTGATAATACTTTACCTGTTATTAGTTGTAGTAATCTAAACTACCATGAATGAAGCTTTATTTAATTTGTTCTGATGTGAAGGCTATCAAAGCATTTCACTGGAATTTTTCAGTCTCATTTTGCTCATCCTGCTGTTTTCTGTAGGCTACTGATACTGCTGATAAAGTCTTATAGAGACGGTAAACCCTAGGAGCGCTCTTGTTCAGTTTTCCATTAGGGATGTAGATTGAACCAGGGATACTCATAAAGCAGAGCTGGTCTTTGGGGGACTTGCACCAGCAGAGCAGACCTGGGTTGAGCAGAGCTTAGCCACAGCTGAGGATTCAACCATTATTTCTCTTGTGTTTCTACAGCTTTTGATGTCAAAACCTTTGATTTTTGTGATTAAGAATTAAACCATTTTGTTAGCTGTTTTGTATCAAAATACTGATTAACTGTTATTTTTGGCAGAGTTTCCCTTTTGTTATGGGCTTCATGAATGAAAGGAAAGAGCCTTTCTATAAGGTTCTTTTTTCTGGTGAAGCTTCAGGAAGAATCACTTTGTGGCATGTTCCTGATGTCCTTGTTTCAACGTTTGATGGTTCACCAAAAGGTTTGGCAATTCTATATGGCGGATGCATTTTTTAATTGTGTCTTTGGTAGGTCAGTTTTCAGGAAAAGTTATTCTCATGAAAATGTTTTTCACGCTAGAAAGAGGTGCTTATGCATCCGTTCAGTGTGGTGATTACCTGTAAATATAAAGAGCAAGACACTAACAAAGATGAGGGGAGAAACAGACAATTTCTTCACATGACTACATGAATACATGTTCCTATTTCCTTTCCGTTTGCCCACAAACACATCAACTAAATGTCATGAAAATGTGCTTAGTTTGTCCTGCTTATGGCTGCTCATAGAGAGGTATAAAAGGATTTTTAGAGAGAAGCCACATGATCTAATATGGAAAGTCTGCAGTTGCCATTCCTGCAGAAAGGATAAGATAAGGGAAATGGCAAAGAGCTGAAAGTGTATTTCATTTTGTTTGGATGTTGGCTTTGTTTTGGTAAAACCAGTAATGTTCTTGACTCATCTTTATTTCCTTTTTAGAGATCCCCATTACAGCAACTTGGACTCTTCAGGATAATTTTGATAAACACCATTCAATGTCAGAGGGCATTATTGATCATCTCTGTGCATCTGAAGATGGGAGTGAAAGTGCGCTCATCAGTTCCTCTGCATACATACCCAGTCTCGATAAGCTGGTTTGTGGGTGTGAAAATGGGAAAATTTTTGTAACTCTAGCTTTAAAAACTGCAAGAGCAAGACTTTTAGAAAACATATCCTTGCTGAAAGGTAAGTTTTAACAGTTCTGCATAATTTCATTGGCATCAAGCACAGAAGATTGCATACTTTTGATATGCCTTTGGATCAAAATAAATTTAAAAAAAATAAATAGGGGTGATGGTTGGGGACTGAATAAGGAAAATGGAAGATTATGACCTTTTTCTGGTTTATCAGATCACAGCTTAGTGTACTACCAAGGCTCTTTGCGTACTTAGGAGTCCTTGCTGTAGAACAGCCGCAGGGATGAAGTCACCTGAAACTTGGATGTGGGATGTCATGGTAGGGGCAGTAGTCTTGATTAATTTCGCCTCTCAAAGTTCATTCCACAGAAGAGGAAAAAAATGCACCTCAGTAGACAAAGCTCAGAATGTAGGACTTTGTCCTCCATTTTTGGAACAAATATACCAAATTTTCTGATCCCATGTAAGGGGTATCTTGGCCTAAGACTCTGAATGGAAATTGGAATGCTTAGTTGTATTTAGTCTTCTGAATTTCCTTAGTTTTAGCAAATGTGCTGTAAAATGTGAAACCTCTATTTTTAAAGGACAATTTATTTAACACCTTATTGTTTCAGATAATCTACCTTACAAAGTTCTGAATGGTCATCGTAGCAGAGTCACTTGTTTACTTTATCCGCATGATAAATCAGCCAGGTTTGATCCAAGCTGGTTGTTATCAGGAGGCCAGGATTCTGTTGTGATCTGCTGGGATATATTTACTGGGGAAATTTTACACCAGTTTACTCTGCAATCTGGTCCAGTGACAGAGCTGTTGCGACCTCCAGAAAACTGCAGAGTAAGTAAAAATGTGATAAATTATGTATAAATACATAGATGTGTATATATGTGTATGTACATGCATACATATGTGCATGTATATATGCACACAAATTATCTGGCAATGTTGTTCTTCAGCAGCACCTTATCTTTGGTTTCCGCTCAGTAATCACTTAATTGTGACTTGTTTGAACATTACTTATAATTTCAGAGGATTGATTTCCTGTTAGTTTGCTGTGATTTCAGTGATTTAGAAAAACCTAAAACAGCGCGATGTTTAAAGTCCATAATGACATTAAAAATGGTGAATGGAATATTATTGTCTAGATATGTTAATTCTAACTCATTTCTGAATGTAAAAAGTGTAATCAGAAAAGCTAGGGATTTAAAGGTGGCAGGAGAAGATTTGGACCAGCAGTATTTGTATAAGTCTAAATATTTATGCTTGGTTCTGGTTCCTGACGTGTGTGTGGCCCTTCTTGTGTATGTTTCTTTTTATATAATATATAAAGAGCTTTAGAATAATTCAGTGTGTTTTTAATTGAATTCTGAAGTAAAAATGTAGAGTTTAGTACAGTAAATCTTTTGCTTGTATGAAAAGTCCTTAGGCAAATTTTTTTGCCATTGCATTCCATGGGATTGGGTTCTCACCCATTTCATCTTAAAAAGTCTATGAAGACATATTCAATACTTATGGTTAACTTAAGTGCATATACAAGTAGTCTAAAAGGTCTTTTGTTGCTTCTCTGCTTTGGCATGATTAAGTACTTTGTAGAGGGCCATCACGAGTCTTAATGCTTGTAAGGTTCTCTTTAGCCCTTTTTCTGTAATCTTAGTAGGATTTAATGTGTTTGAACTGTGTCCCCTGTGTTTACAGGGCTGAATTTTTCCATAGGGTCAATTCCTCCGTGAGTCACCAAAAATTACTTGCAGAAAGAAGGCTTTGCAGAATCAGAACCATATATTGTGAAATTAAATTGTAACATACCTAATTTTTCCACTAGAAATACATTGCTTTTGAGTTTTGTGTCATAAGACTTGATGTAAATTTCATGTTGAATGAATAGCATTTTGGTTTAAGGTAACCTTTCATTTTTTTCTTCTGTGACAGATATTACTGTATATTTGATTGTATAATGACTGCTTTGACAGGCTTTATGTTGTGGATGAGTATAACATTTATTTTTATAGCTTTTGAAAAAGCAGAGATGATTGTTTCTCTCCTTGTATGGAGATCGGATTTATAGCTAGCCTGTTAAAAACAATTTGGAGATGTAGCCTGAAGTACAGCAACATTTCCCAAAATAAGTATGTTTTGGGAAGGAAATTGACTATTTTTTCCAGGCTCATTACAATGACATGGTCATGAATGTGATTGCAGTAAAGATGCTAAAGCTCTTACTCTATTTTTGCAGTTAAAAGATCACAGCATTGTGTGCTGTGTGTGCAGGGATCATTCAGTAGCAATTCTACACCTTCAGGAGAGAGTGTGTCTCTTCCATGCCAGAAAGCATCTGTTTCCTGTGAAGATGATAAAAATCGACCCTGTTGAGAATCTCCTAATTGTTGGATGTGAAGATGATTCAGTTTATATTTGGGAAATTGAAACAGGTAATACCATGCGGGTTTTTGTTCATTTTCCTTATGTCTTATTTCAGTGTGTTGTACTGGCTTATGTAAATATAATTTAAAGAGTGCCAAAGCAGAAGTACGAATGCATTAAATTTTTAAATTTTTATGTAAATAAGCAAGAAGTAAAGATTCCATGCAATTCAAGGTATGTCACTAATAAAATACAATAACTTAAGTCAGATCCAGACAAGCAGATGATTAGCTGGCATTGCATTGCAGTGAAATGAGTTGAATATTTCTGGAAGCTATAGATAAAAACAAGTTATGTCCTTTAGATATTAAGAGAAATTTACTGTCCTAACAATCTCAAATTATAGCATTATGTTCTGCTTTCTTCAGCATGATCACAATCTCAGCAACCTTTTGAGTTAATTGATAGTCGATAATAATGGAAGATATTTAATTGCAAAGCTCAGAAATGTGTAGTCAAGATAACTAAAGCAGAGTATTTCAGCTAAATTGTAGACTGTCAGGTGGTTTGATAGTGTAATGCTGATTCACAAGGAGAGTAAATGTAGTTTGAACTTTGACAGACAACTGTTAGAAGTTGAAGTGGTACCAGACACTGCAATATAGTGTTTCCTTTCAATCCAGAGCCATGTGTCTTGGGGGGAAAAAAGTGCGTGGTGAGTCTAGAACCGTTTAAATCCATGGAATATTAACACTGCATGAGAACAGTCTTACTAAATGTCCTGTGCAAAACTGAAATCGGAGTGCTTGACAAACTCAGATTGCTCAGTTGGTGTCTATGCTGAGTGTGTGTTTCAGACAAAGAAAAGTTTCCTGTTTCAAAGTACAGAATACCAGTATTCAATGAAGGACTTGACAAAATGGTGCTGTGTGAATTACAGGCTTCTGGTGTTAGTAAGCTATTTAATATCACTGAGTTATTGACATAAGAAATGCCAAGGCTTATGGCACTACTTTTCCCTAGTACACTGAATCACTTCTTTAAAGTAAATAAGATTTAGAATAAAATTTAAAAATAGTTTTTAACTGGCTGTAGTTGTTAATTAAATTTTAACTGAGGTTTTTCATATGACTACCCAAAAATATGAAGTTCTCATTTTTGCATTGCATTTTGAGTTTTGAAGAGTCTTTTCAAAAATGTCAGAAAATCTGGCCTTAGATGGTTAGGTTGTGTATAGTGTTGTACTTGCTGTTTACTGTTTTGCTGTGTGACTGTAAGATGAAATCTTTTCTTAGAATTTTAGCTTTAATGGTGGAGAGAAGCAAATACAGGGTCAAACTTACAGAAGTAAATACTGGACTGAATTATGATACTCTGAATTTGTTGCTCTACTTTTGTGTCTTTTTTTCTGCATAATTTTAAAACCTGTTTCCTGGTAAATATGTAAGAGTCCTCTTGGATTATCTGCTATTTATTTAGATGCATGATAAAGTGCATTTTTTCTAATCAGGCTTGCATCTTAGGGTATTGGTTCTGCTCTTCTGCTTGACCTTTCTGGAGGCTTTATGGAAGGGTTCTATCTCAGGATCCTTCTTCCTATCTTGTCATTCCTTTAATACCTCCTTCATTCTACTAGTCCCTGTTAGCAGATCTACAATATTGCAAATTGTGTTACTTCTCTCTGTTCTTCCTCCCTGTAAAAGGAATGTTTCCTCACGAACGTGTTCCTTTCTGCTCCTGAAGATACTACTGGATCTCATTAGCCCCCTGTAAAGACAGTGTGTATTTTATCTGTGCAAATATTTCTGTTAACAGTAAGAAAAATTGAAAGCTATACCTGCCCTATACTTCAGTTCAAAGTACATAAAACAGCAAAAATAAGAAATTAAGTTGATTCTTCATGTTGCCCAACTGCTTATATCGTAGCTTTTACTAGTAGTAAAGAGTTAAAGGTTAAATGGAAGATATGGTACTAGGTTCCTGTTATAACTAAAGGAAATAAGAGCAAGTGTCTAACAGTTTAATCATTAATACATGTAAACATTTTCATGGAGATTATACATTGGAGATGCCAGTCTCCAGCTGTTCTATATGCTAGCTTTCTTGCTCTTTTTAAAATGATGCTGAAAATGGTGAGAAGTTTGGAGGGGAAAATTGTAATGCAAAATGCATCCTTTGCAGCTGTGAAATGAGCCAAGGAAATATCTCAAATATCTAACTGTAGGTAGACTGTTTCTTAAGTGTATAGCAATTTGAGACTGACAAATCCTATTAAATGACATTATACTTAAATGTTTATTAACATTTTCTGTAGAATCATGTTGTAACCAAAGAATAGTTTTGTGCATTTTAAACACTCTGAAATAAAACTGAGAAAATAAATCACTGAATCACAGAATGGTTGAGGTTAAAAACCCCCTAGAGATCATCTAGTTCCCACCTCCCTGCCTATGCAGGGTCAACCTAGAGCCGTGCTGCCCAGGATTGTGTCTGGATAATTTCTGAATATCTCCAGCAGAGGAGACTCCACAACCTCTCTGGGCAATGTGTTCAAGTTCTCAGTAAAGAAGTTTTTCCACGTATTCAGATGGAACTTCCTGTGTTTCACTTTATGCCTGTTGCCTCTTGTCCTGTCACTGGGCACCACGGAGAAGAGTCTGGCCCCATCCTCTTGACACCTTCCCTTCAGATACTTATACACATTGATCAGATCCCCCCCCCTCAGTCTTTTCTTCAGGCTAAATAGTCCTTGCTCTCTGAGGCTTTTATCATATGAGATGCTCCAGTCCCTTAATGATCTTAGATGTTTGCTGGACAAATTCGCTGCAGTAGCTCCATGTCTCTTGTATTGGGGAGCCCAGCACTGGACCCAGCGTTCCAGATGTGGCTTCACCAGGGTGGAGCAGAGGGGAACGATCACCTCCCTCAGCTTGCTGACAATGCTCTTCCTAATGCAGCCCAGGATACCATTGGTTGTATTGGCCACAAGGGCACATTGCTGGATAAATCAGCCAGGTTTGATCCAAGCTGGTTGTTATCAGGAGGCCAGGATTCTGTTGTGATCTGCTGGGATATATTTACTGGGGAAATTTTACACCAGTTTACTCTGCAATCTGGTCCAGTGACAGAGCTGTTGCGACCTCCAGAAAACTGCAGAGTAAGTAAAAATGTGATAAATTATGTATAAATACATAGATGTGTATATATGTGTATGTACATGCATACATATGTGCATGTATATATGCACACAAATTATCTGGCAATGTTGTTCTTCAGCAGCACCTTATCTTTGGTTTCCGCTCAGTAATCACTTAATTGTGACTTGTTTGAACATTACTTATAATTTCAGAGGATTGATTTCCTGTTAGTTTGCTGTGATTTCAGTGATTTAGAAAAACCTAAAACAGCGCGATGTTTAAAGTCCATAATGACATTAAAAATGGTGAATGGAATATTATTGTCTAGATATGTTAATTCTAACTCATTTCTGAATGTAAAAAGTGTAATCAGAAAAGCTAGGGATTTAAAGGTGGCAGGAGAAGATTTGGACCAGCAGTATTTGTATAAGTCTAAATATTTATGCTTGGTTCTGGTTCCTGACGTGTGTGTGGCCCTTCTTGTGTATGTTTCTTTTTATATAATATATAAAGAGCTTTAGAATAATTCAGTGTGTTTTTAATTGAATTCTGAAGTAAAAATGTAGAGTTTAGTACAGTAAATCTTTTGCTTGTATGAAAAGTCCTTAGGCAAATTTTTTTGCCATTGCATTCCATGGGATTGGGTTCTCACCCATTTCATCTTAAAAAGTCTATGAAGACATATTCAATACTTATGGTTAACTTAAGTGCATATACAAGTAGTCTAAAAGGTCTTTTGTTGCTTCTCTGCTTTGGCATGATTAAGTACTTTGTAGAGGGCCATCACGAGTCTTAATGCTTGTAAGGTTCTCTTTAGCCCTTTTTCTGTAATCTTAGTAGGATTTAATGTGTTTGAACTGTGTCCCCTGTGTTTACAGGGCTGAATTTTTCCATAGGGTCAATTCCTCCGTGAGTCACCAAAAATTACTTGCAGAAAGAAGGCTTTGCAGAATCAGAACCATATATTGTGAAATTAAATTGTAACATACCTAATTTTTCCACTAGAAATACATTGCTTTTGAGTTTTGTGTCATAAGACTTGATGTAAATTTCATGTTGAATGAATAGCATTTTGGTTTAAGGTAACCTTTCATTTTTTTCTTCTGTGACAGATATTACTGTATATTTGATTGTATAATGACTGCTTTGACAGGCTATATGTTGTGGATGAGTATAACATTTATTTTTATAGCTTTTGAAAAAGCAGAGATTGTTTCTCTCCTTGTATGGAGATCGGATTTATAGCTAGCCTGTTAAAAACAATTTGGAGATGTAGCCTGAAGTACAGCAACATTTCCCAAAATAAGTATGTTTTGGGAAGGAAATTGACTATTTTTTCCAGGCTCATTACAATGACATGGTCATGAATGTGATTGCAGTAAAGATGCTAAAGCTCTTACTCTATTTTTGCAGTTAAAAGATCACAGCATTGTGTGCTGTGTGTGCAGGGATCATTCAGTAGCAATTCTACACCTTCAGGAGAGAGTGTGTCTCTTCCATGCCAGAAAGCATCTGTTTCCTGTGAAGATGATAAAAATCGACCCTGTTGAGAATCTCCTAATTGTTGGATGTGAAGATGATTCAGTTTATATTTGGGAAATTGAAACAGGTAATACCATGCGGGTTTTTGTTCATTTTCCTTATGTCTTATTTCAGTGTGTTGTACTGGCTTATGTAAATATGATTTAAAGAGTGCCAAAGCAGAAGTACGAATGCATTAAATTTTTAAATTTTTATGTAAATAAGCAAGAAGTAAAGATTCCATGCAATTCAAGGTATGTCACTAATAAAATACAATAACTTAAGTCAGATCCAGACAAGCAGATGATTAGCTGGCATTGCATTGCAGTGAAATGAGTTGAATATTTCTGGAAGCTATAGATAAAAACAAGTTATGTCCTTTAGATATTAAGAGAAATTTACTGTCCTAA